CAAGCAGTATCCGTGTCTGTGACCCTGGAACCTTTCATTTAGAGTCAGCTCATCCTGCTAGACCCATTTCTGAACTGCCAGTATGGAGGAGAAGCCATAAGTGGAAAATGAAAACTCAGAGACAGTTACCAAATGACATCCTCTTAAGAGCTGAATGCTCAATTTGGGGAGTTACAGAACCAGGAACAAGCAATATCAAGTATTTCAGCAGTGATGGTGTTAGTCCTTTACAGATATAATGTGAGGGCTCATCCTGCCCCCCTCATCCATAAAAAAAGGGGAACCAGTGGAAGTCAAAGAGAATTTGCTGATTTTCACTTCAAATCAAATTCCAAGGAAACTACCTGCGAGAGCTTGGATAGGAGAAAATAGAACCAAACTCAGTTCTAGATTCTGCGGCAAAACCAGTCTTGGAAGCTCAGAAAATATTCACTCTGGCACTGCTCTTGGTTTTTTTTCTTTTTCCCAAGTTCCTAACTCCTTTAAAACTCCAAACCCCTCCTTGGAAGTCAGAATTCATGATTCAAAGACAGAAATGGATTTTTCAAGTTCCTTTTGAAATTTCTTCTCTTTCTTTCCTTGAGCCTTTTGAACTTTTCTCTAGTTTATTAGTAGCAAGCAGAACGTTCTCCAAACGAGAAAATATGCGATGAAACCTTGTTATAACATCTTTCCTTTTAATGTTTTTCTACCTAGATCATTCAGTTTGAAAAGTCCCAGCTGAAGGGTTAGAAAGCAATGTTGCTGCCACATCAAATTTTCACACATGAAATCATCAGAGAACTTCCTATCAATAGGAAGGATTACAAAGAAAATTTCAGCACGTCTGAAGTGACCCATCTAGAGGCAGGAGAGTGGTCCTGTAAGTCTGAGAATCCCTATTGTCTGCAGCTGCCTCCATGTGCCTGATGGCCAGTGAGTGCCTTGGAACCTGAGTGTGTCAGTCTGTCAGGCACAGGCACCTCTCTTGCCACATGCCGCTGTGTGCCAGAAGAAGGGGCTGCTGCTAAGGGAGCTACAGGGATTTGGGAGGAGCCCAGTATCCTGATGACTCTACACCTCCTGACTTCACAACCCGTTTTTGTTGTTGTTGTTGTTGTTGTTGTTGTTGTTTTTTAACCTTTTCAGTAGTTTGGGATGTACAACATGAACAGGAAAGTGGGTACCGGAACTAGGAGAATGTCAACCTGATTCCTTGCTCTGATTTTATATTATGGTTTCACACAAAGACACAGAGGTTAATCCTTTCAACCTCTTTAAGAGATTAGACCAAGGGGGATCCCTGGGTGGCCCAGTGGTTTAGCACCTGCCTTCAGCTTAGGGTGTGATCCTGAAGTCCAGGGATGGAATCCCACATCAGGCTCCCTGCATGGAGCCCGCTTCTCCTTCTGCCTGTGTCTCTGCCTCTCTCTCTCTGTGTCTGTCATGAATAAATAAATATTTTTTAAAAAAATTAAAAAATAGATTAGACCAAGAACCATTACTTCTGTTTTATAAACACTAATAGAGAGACTGCTACCTGCCCAGCAGCCCAGAGAGGAGGCTTACTTAACCAGACAGGAATGGCAGTTCTCTGATACCTGTCTGGGAAAGCAAAGGGCTGCAGTAGTTTAGCTACCAGGAAACCTCAACTTAACAGAACAGGAAATCTAGGAAAAAGAAAGTTTCTCTTTGCATTTTAAGACATCCTCTCTTTTTGAAAATAACAGTGCTATCGGTGAAACAGAATGCATGTACAGAAAAGTGTGGGAAAGAAATGTACAACATAACAGATATAAAGCCAACATACATGTAACAACCATGAGGACCAGAAGTCAGAGCACTGCCAACATCCTAGAGAGTTATGTTCTCTCGAAACTGAGGAGTCCAACAATGGACCTCTTTTTAAAGTCTGGGGCTATCAGCCTCCAAAGTTTCCAAACTTTGATTTTTTCCCCCTCCTCTTTGTAATTCATCTCCTGAAGAAGTTTGCAAAATACCTATATCTATGTTCATTGAACTCGTGATCCATTTAATTTTAATAAGACAAGTGTTTAAGGGTCTGAAGCAGGATAAAAAATTTAAAAAACACAAGAAAATTGCATTGAAAATATTGGCACATTTGTTTTCAAAATGCCAGGATGTGTAGGACCTCACTTCCAGTCAGAATGCCGAGATATACACGTCTGCTTTCATTTTTTTAAAAGATTTTATTTATTTATTCATAAGAGACATACAGAGAGAAGCAGACACAGGCAGAGAGAGAAGCATGCTCCCCGTGGGAAGCCTGATGCGGAACTCGATCCCAGGACCTTGATCCCAGGAACCGGGGATCACGACCTGAGCCGAAAGCAGACTCTCAACCACTGAGCCACCCAGGTGCCACCCCACATGTCTGCTTTCATAAGGGACATGTGCTGAAACATGTATTTGCAATTTCAGTAAAAACAGCATCAACTATTTCTGTCCAGTAAGGTTCTCCCAACTTCGAAGGCTGTAATATACCAAAACCAAAAAATACAGAATATAGATGCTTTAAAATTTAGCATCTTCATTAATATTCTGACCTTTAACATTGGATGCACAATCTCTTTAGAACTGATGTTTTGAGGGCAAGTATCATCATAAGGACATAGATTCTAGTAAAGCTAAAGGCAAATCCCAGGTGCTTTAGGGCAAAGCCATTTTATCTTTATCTTCTCCTTATTGTCTAAACGGTGTCTTATTATTACAAGCTGTTCTATACATGTTGATTGAAGGCATTTTTATATGAACACTTTCAGAAAAAGAAAACAGAATCATGCTTATTAGTTTTGATGTGTTTCTTTGGCTTCTTAGCTATACTCAAAATGTGCAGAAAATAAAGCTTAGGATTTCAAAAGAAATTATTTCAAATAAATTTCAAAAAAAATTATTATATACAAAATGTGACTCAGGAATACAAGGAAGGAAAACATGTTTGTTTCCAATCTTCTTTGTCACTTTGTTTCCGCCAGGAGGTGTGGAATTCCGTTTGAAGACAAGATTCAGAAAAGGTTACACGATTCAGAAAGCAGGAATACTCCTTCAGGGAAAAGCGAAAAGTAAAAAGCAAAGCAAAAAAAAAAAAAAGCAGAGGTTATCTCTTTGTTTCTGTTCCTCCCCCTTTTAGGCGGTCAAGGGCAAACACAAGGCTTGCTGCAGAGCTTGATTTCTTGCCTCGCGCCACCTAGTGGCCCAAGCTGAGAAATTGTTTTTATTTTGCCAACAGCTGAAAAACTGGAGATTCCAAGGTTTTGAACATTTTTGACAAATTGTTACTCATATTTATGAGACAGTTTAAGTGCCAGCTGACAGGTCATCTGGATATATTCCACTTCAAAGAGTACATTTTAGGAGTATTAATAATGGCTGTATCTTTGCCCTGTACATAAGATGCCTGATAAGACATAAGTGTCTGGTGAGGAACTCCTCACATCTGGCCACTCTGAAACAAATATTTGTAATTTCTGCAAAAACAAAACAAACTACTTCTGTCCAATAAAATTCTCCTACATAAAAACCAAAAAATATAGAATACAGATATTTTTAAATTTAGAAGCTTGATTAATATTCTGACCTCCATCGTAGGATGCACAATCTCATTAGAACCAGTTTGAGGGTAAATATCTTCATAAGGAGATAATGAATCAAATCCTGGCTCTGCCCAAGGGAGGTCTGTAAAGAAAGGTAGAGGAAGCTTTCTCATGGGCACCCTACTATTTTTTGTTGAAAGGAGCATGTTTGAAGAAAGTTAAGAACTGGTTTCATCTTTCTTTCCAAATTAAGATGAAGCAAAGGTTGCAGACTGTGGCTTCTTTCTTAGCCAAGCTTTTCATTCCTTTGCATGTTGCTAAAAATCAGACCTGGCAGCCACTCCCTTTTAGGATACAAAGGCCCCAAACTGGACATGGTTGCCAATGACTTCAAGAAGGATATGGGAAGAAAGAAAAGGAAATTATGAACAATAATAAAGAGACTTCTCCTCCTTCTTTCACAAAAGTGTACCCGCAGCTGTTTCCAGACAAACCCTCAAAACAGAATGCCCTTGAGAGGAAAGCTGTGAGAAGACCTAGTGGGCTGCCCAACCAAAGGCAGCAGATCTCAGGTAAATCAAAGGAACTTGACAGAATGGGAATCTAGGGGATCCCCTGGGTGGCGCAGCGGTTTGGCGCCTGCCTTTGGCCCAGGGTGCGATCCTGGAGACCTGGGATCGAATCCCACATTGGGCTCCTGGTGCATGGAGCCTGCTTCTCCCTCTGCCTGTGTCTCTGCCTCTCTCTCTCTCTCTGTGTGACTATCGTAAATAAATTTTTTTAAAAAATTAAAAAAAAAGAACGGGAATCTATTTGGCAAAACACCAAAGACAGGGAAGTTCGGTTCTTTGGCCCTGATTTCCTGCTTCTAATCCTGAGAACTGACTGAGCAGCTTAACAAAAGCCATTAAGCAGAAGATGACTGTGAGTGGGCAAAGGCCAGGCAGGTAGGCCAGTGATGATGGACCTATTCTAAGTTGGTCAAGAGAATGGGGGGCGGGGTCACTGACTGGGTAGTGAATTGAACCAGGTGATCTCTAAGGACCCCATGACTGGATGACCATTGGATTTACCACATTCCTTTCACTTAGAATCGAATGTGAACAGAAATAATCTTCCCAAAAATTCTAGGTAAAATGAGACCACTGTAGAGGGCTTAGCATGAATTAATGATAATATACGGTTTTATAACTGGAAGAATGAAAAGAGGCAAGCAGAGAAAATGAGAAGCCTGAGTTAATGCTATAAAAAGTATCTCTGTGTTATATATACACTGATGTTGTACAACTAAATTGCAAAAGAAAGTATCACTTTCCTTTTCTTGAATTTAGTTGGATAGACCTTCACCCCTGCTTAAAGTTAAAAATGGTAGTAGTGTAGCCCTGAAAGTACTCAGATACTAACAAGAAAACTCCAGCAGTGCTTGTAGAAGCATCAGGCCCAGGGAGGTCAGGGGGCTCCAAGTACCTGTTTTGGTCAAAGGAATTGAGAAGAGTTGCTGCAGAAGCTTGTTTTCTGACGTTCTCAGGACTACAACCACATCAGCAGGGAGAGTGTCTTTGTTTTTCTCAAGAACCCCAGAAGCATCGTATAATACCTGCAACATGAATAGCAAATAGCAAACTAGCCAGTATCATCCATTGCTGGTGACATTGGAAAAGCTGTCTGAGGTCAGTCATTAATCGACCAATGTAGAGAAATTATCTTGACACAGCCATGCTTTTAAATCCAGACCATGAGATAAGGAGGAAAAAACTGTAATTTTTGACAGGCCAATTTATCTTAACTTCTTGGTCAGGTGCTTTTTGAGGAATAGAGGCATATCAAAGATACATCACATGAGAATAACTATGCACTATATATTGGCCACTATGCGGAAAGCACCCACCCTATGAGGTAAATGCTATTACTATCTCCATTTTACTGGTGGGCAAACAGTGGCTTAACAAGAAGCTGAAATGATATGCTCATGGTCACACATTTCACAAGTAGCAGGCAGGTTTCCAAACCCAGGCAGTCTGGGCTCCGTGCTCATCATCAACTGTACTCTTGCTGCTCCCTAAGGCATTCACAACATGTGAGTGATCACTTAGGGATGCAGAGCCATTTTCAGTTCTCACAACAGAAGGGAGCCAGGTCAGAGGAATTTTAAGGAAGATTCCAGAGAAATAATGAATTCAGGAAAGGGCATTGAGCCCACAAAGAAAACGATCTTGTTTTTCCCCTTAAAATCAAGGAAGGAGAAAAGGGAGAAAGGGAAGATGGGTGAACAGGAAATTGGTATAAAAGGACAGAGAGACAGGGAGGTGCAAGGAAGAGGACAGGAATGGGAGGCGGAGATCAGGATAGATGCGGGTATCCCAGACATGGGGGACATTAACATATGGTCGGACATCAGTGCTGAGGTGGTCTGAAATAGTTAAAAATTGAGTTGCAATTTCAACAAAGATTCAAAACAGATACTATATGCTATGTGGAGAGAAACACAATCTTCTTTGCTTATATTAGAACTGCCTTTCAACCAACCTCCAGTCAGGTAAAATTAATTTCAACACCATGATATGAATATAAAAAAACAACTTCAACAAATCTTAAATGAACAAAATCCCAAATGCCTTTTGTTGGACTCCTACCCTGTTTGTGGGACCCAGGTCCTCAGCAGACCCCACCAGAACCAATGAGCTATGATTCCAATGACTCCTTTGAGAGTAACTCTGAGCAAAGAGCTATTGGTTGCAGAACCAGAGAATTTCCTAAATTAGTCACTCCTCTGCTTCAGGAACTTGAAATGAGACTGAGGCATAAATTAAGAAAGATGGAAATTTCAGTTAGTGTTATACAAGTTTAACATCAAAGAGAATTTTTTCCCTTTTTATCTAGACAGTTTTGGTGCCCTGTAGCCACATATAGTTAAAGTGCTAAAAACTGAGCCCCACTATGATATTAACCCTCCTCTGTTAACCTGCACATTTCCAAGGGACTTCAGAATATACACATTGTCCGCTAACCGCTGCAAACGCTACACTGTATCTTCTCTCTGGAGAGCTGTCACTTCTAGGACAAACCTCAGGTGAGAAGCAGATGGAAGCTCCATAGCCACCCCAGCAAGAAACTGCTTTTTTACCAGGGGCGACTTTCTGTGAGCAGCACCACTGAGAAAGTTTGGGAATTATGATTAGGTGTTCAGAAGAAATTAAAAGGAGAAAGAAATCTTCAAGCAATTTTGTGAGCAGCACAGACAGGGTAGTATGGACAAGTACCCCTTGTCAAATTCAGGCCTAGTAACACACACTTGCCTTACCTTTCCAGCATAGTGCAGAATGCCAAAGCATAGCTCCACCCCTTTGGGCCTCCAGAAGTATTTGCATCGTAGATTATCTTCAAATTTATCTGCGTGGATTTTCATGTGTAAAAGTTACAATGAGAACTGTTTGCTCCTTCAAACAAAGAGGTGCTCCTTGAGCCAGGAGTAACCCAAAATAAGGGTTTTCAGGGCAGCCTGATATTATCATCATATGTACAACAGAGGAGAAAAATGCCCCATTGAAATGGGCTTACAATCAAGTCTTCATTTACTTGTTTTGTGTTGTCTTTAGTATCAGGCTATACCCTAAGATCTCTTGTTCTGTTCTAAGAACTCCCAGCATGGACACTGATGACACCAGAACTCTAGCCAATGAGCTTAAGAACCATGAAGATCCCATGGAAGGCAAACAACCCTGGTATAAACCTATCACAGCAACTTCTGATTACTTTGTAGGTAAAAGGAAACCACTGAGGGTGACAATTTCAACTCCTAGAAGTGAATCTTTCCCACCAATCAAGTTCCTATCAGGAGAAAAGGCTTGAAACTTTCTGTTCCACCCTCAATAAACAATTTTTGTTATTTGTTGTAACTGAGAGCCTACTCTGTGTGAAGAACTGTGCTAAGCACTAAAGGGATACAAAGATTATTGGGGTTTTGTTGCCCTAAATATCTCACAATCTAAGTAAGGGATGGGATTGTATGCGACACTGAAGATTAGAGAAGAAGCTCAAGAGGAACAAGGATAGAGGATGGGGGGGCCATTAGTGTCAGGAGGAAGTGTCTTATCGGCATCTTATAAACAGTAAACTAAATGAAAAGGTGGCTTCAGAAAGACTAAATTTGCTGGGACGTCTAGGGTAGAGGGGATAAGCACGAAGCTAGAAGCCAGGAAACCAGAAGGGTCTTCTATACAAATTTAGACTAGAAATGGATGGGATCCAAGCAGAGATATGAGAGAAGGGTATGAAAAAGGAGGGGAAGCAAGCATTGGTTATAGGAAATAAGGGAGCTGAAGGTATAAAAATGATAGGAAATAGGCAACAATAGGAAAGTGAGGAGGGTTTGGTGATGAGTTTTCTTTAAGACAAAGATCTATCAGGACATTTGCTGACAATTTCAATTCATTAAAAACAGGGTCTACACTTGCATAAACTACCAGGTGGCCGAAATACCAATTTACAATACCAACGAACCAAGTTCTCTCCTGAGTGTATTATGCCTTTCCCAAGAGACACTTACCAACCAGGGTCTGATCAGTTGCTTGGGGAAATCGACTTTCCTCATCCAAAAGCGCAAGCAGTCCCAGAGGTTTCTGGAGGAACATGTCCAAGAGTGGGCGATTGTCCTCATACATCACAAGTGTAGCATCAATGCCTTCATTCTGATATTCCATCTGGAGGAAAATGGATTGTGAATCTCTTTAGCCCAAAACTGGTCTACATAGCACCAGGCTGCTTTGGCACGTGCCTTCTATAGCCTTACAACACTGACTATCTGTGGAAAACAGGCAGTTTTATGTGTGTAGTCAAAGATTCTCCTGATACAACACTGCTAAAACTTTGGGTTTAAGTCTGACCCATAGGCAACCTGCGGCAGGCAGCTGAAGCCAGCAAAAGAAGGGACAGTGCTGTCTTCCAAAAACCAACTTGGGAAGTCATAATTTAGAAACTGACGTCGAATAGAAAGGAAGCTGAAAAAAATTATTTTAGTGATAAATAAAACATGGCTTAAACCAGGAAAAAAAGCAGACTTCTACATTCTAGGATTCTGCAAGGGAATCAGACTGGAAAACTACTAGAAAACTCCAGACTTCCCAGGGAAATAAATGCAAGGAGCCCTGAGTGAAAGGAGGTCAAATTTTGTGCAGAGTGGGAGGGGAGAGGAGGGTGATACAGATTTATCCAATTCCACTGAAAAAAACCAATACAGATTTTCTTACTTCCTGTTTTTGTGTTTATGTAATCACAGTACAGCGTGTGTGTCTTCACTCCTAAAACAAAGGCTCAGTCAGAGTGTTTCATTGCTGCACTACTTCATACAGGATAGTCTTGGGTTTGGGACAGAAATTGGGGTGGAGGGGAAGGTCCCCTAGCCTTTGGGCTCATGAGCTTCACATCTTGTTTTACTTACCATTAAACTCATTACAGAATGACTTCCATTTGGAGAAAACCAAGAACATAGTTTACTCCTGCCCTGGAGACATCCCCCCTTCCAAGTTACTGTGGGAACTGGTGTGCAGGAGATGAGGGGGGGGGGCAGTGGAGATGCCCTATTTGGGAGTTAAGAACGAGAACCTATGCCCTGATTCAAGATCATCCTGTGTCATTTTGGACACAATCATGGATGTTTTTTGTTAAATAAAGTAACAATAAAGAGAATGTAACAATTTGGACACTGTGCGTGAAATAGTTTGGAAGCAATATTTAAATAACTAGCTTGTCATCAGCTCCACTCAAGTGAGGAAATGTAACTTTCCACAGAAATCAAGACTTTTTTCAGGCTAACTTTAGGCTATTTATTTTGACAGGACTGCTTATTTGGTGGATTTTCCTTAGAATCTGTTAGCCTAAGAGGGTTTCTGCTTCAAATTGTGGGCAGCTTGCAAACACCTTCCCTATCAGATTTAATCACTTCAGAGTTCACTATTACCTGCTCAAGAGCGAAAACGTGCTGGTTGAAATAGTACTGGATTTGCTCATTGGCGATGTTTATGCAGAGCTGTTCAAATGAATTTCTCCCAAAGTTCTCGAACCCAAAAATATCCAAGATCCCCACATTCATACCATCATCTGCACTACTACATGGGAGTAAAGAAAAAAATCTTTTAGTGGAAGAAACATTTATCTCAGGATGATGAAAGTATGTGTGTCCACATGTTTACCAATATATGTACCCACTTACGGAAAGCAGCATTCAGCTGCCTCTAAGAGAAGAAACAGTTTGTGTTTTAAGTCATTCATTCCTTCAGTCTTTCAACAGTAGTTCCAACTTTTTTTTTGTTTTTAAGCAGTAGAACCCTTTAAAATCTCCCTCAGAAGTTCCATAGAGAGAGATATTAGAGAGGAGGTACTCTGTTCGAAAAGACTAGAACTGCTGCCCATTCATTCTTCTACCTTCCCACCCATTAGGCTTAATTGGAAGAATACGCTTTAGAATTTGTCGTCCATTTTTCCACAATATAGAGACCACTAATCCTTAGGAAAGAAAAGTCAGTAGCAGCAGCAGCAATAATACTGTAAGATATGGTGCTTTAAAACTTTTCATGAGATGTCTCATTCTAAAAACAACACTATGAGGAGGATATTAATTACTCTCATTTTACAGATGAGAAAACTATGACTTAGAATATGGATCTGGTCAAACTGTAGAGCTTAAATGCAAACCCAGTTTGCCCAGCTCCTGGACAAGCCTGTTCTCTTAAATACTACATATTATGGCTCAGTCATGTGATTCTTCCATTCTCCTAGATCCCATTCTCCTTTTAAAGGAAAAGACCTCAGAGCTTCACCAAAGGAAACTCGGGAGAGGACCAAACAGTTCCTCTTGCAAACTCTAAGAGACACCATGATTGCTGACAGCTCTCCCAAGGCCTCTGCTTCCCAAGGGAACTTGCCATATGTTTTTGTCTGGTTGCAGGAGTGTATTGATGCGATTTACAATCCAACTGAAGAGCCTCCCATACAGGGATTTGGACATGGCATCTCGGACATCCGCAGCCCTGTCGACAGTATTGGCACGGATGATGGTTTCACCGCGGGTGACCACACAGTGTGAGATAAGGGCCTCTTGGAGTTCTTCGGGGCTGATGCAGAGAACAGAGGCAGCTGCAATAAAGAGTAAGGATGATACAGAGAATACAGTCACCCATTCATCCTTTCATTCATTCAGCCAGCATTGACTCAACATCTACGATGTGCCAAGTTCTACTCAGGCACTTCAGATGCAAAGGTAAACAAGCCAGGTCCCTAACCCCAAGAAGTATCCAGACAGACACAGTATCCCCCAAACATTCTGAAAGCTCTTCACAGGCATTTGATGAGAAAAAGTGAGAGAAGATAGTCTTTGGTCAAATAGCTGGGGATTATATTCAAGAGTCAGGAAGCACACGAGTTTATTAAAAACAGTAAAAGTTGGATCCCTGGGTGGTGCAGCGTTTTGGCGCCTGCTTTTGGCCCGGGGCGCGATCCTGGAGACCCAGGATCGAATCCCACATCGGGCTCCTGGTGTATGGAGCCTGCTTCTCCCTCTGCCTGTGTCTCTGCCTCTCTCTCTGTGTGTGTGACTATCATAAATAAATAAAAATTTTAAAAAAATTCATCATTAAAAAAAACAGTAAAAGATGCTGCATTTTAACACAACAGGTGTTTATTTAAATCACTTTTTTTTTAACTCAGGATTCTCATTCCTGTGTCACCATTATTAGCTATAAAACTTTAGAAATAAACAGGTGCCTGCCTATCCCTTGCAGATGCTGATTTAGTGGATTCAGACAGAGATCCACCTCTTGTATTTTTTTTTCGAAAAATTATAGATGATTTTCAAAAGTAGCCAGTGTTGACACCATGGCCCAAAGCTATCTGTCTTGGAATTCTTTTCTGCAGAGCACTTATTTGCAGCGCATGAAAAGAACACTGATGTTCTACAAGACATCCTTTGGGAAATCATAGTTAGTGAAAACACCCAGAGCCGGCACAGGGACCAGCCACAGCTGCACTATATTTTATAGCATCTTTAGAAACTACCAAAGTCAAAGAAACATGCATTTTGATTACACAGTGCACAGACATCAAACAATTACCATTTTCCAAAGCTTCAGCATTGGGGACCTCACTTTTGTCAGTTTGATGTTGAGAGGAAATAGCTGCAAACTCAATGTTTCCAATATTCAAAATTCCAGCCAAAATTCTATACACTGAGTGCACCTCCTGAAAAGGACAGCAAGAACCATTTTGGTCATTGCCATTCAAACCAACAAACCAATAGTACTGGTAGTTATCCACCAAAATCCAACATCCCCCTATCCTGGGCACACAAACAAATTTCCAAACCTCCCCTGAAGTTAGGCAGTGGAACTAAATTCTCAACAAAGAAGCAAGTAGAATGATATGAGTGACTTCGGAGTCCAGCCTTATAGAAGCAAGCATGCCTCCTCCATGCTTTTTTCCCCATTATTGCCAGCTGGACCTCCCAACAACCCAGTCTCAGCTATGCAGTTGACTAGGATTCCTGAGACCAATGCTACATGGAACAAAGTTGTACTGCAACATGAACCTCTTACTTTGAAATGCTTCCATAAGAACAACTGATCTTTGTTCTTTAAGCCACTTATCCATTTATTCTAACTAAAACCAGCTTCCAAATTCAGGTATGTTCTTTTTTCAAAATAAGAAAGCAGAGGTTTCCTTAACCACTTTTGAATATAGCTTTTATGAAATAGTTATCAAGGCATTCACTGATGGTTCACTGAACATTTTGAAGTTCAATAAAGGAATATGTAATTATGAATGAGGTCAGGAAATATTCAGACTCACTAGAAATTATCTGTGATATTGTGATATAATAACACATATTCGGTCTTCATACCAATTTCCAGCACAAGAGCTAAACAACCCCTGGAATTATAAGTGACAGGTGTTAAAGGAGTATCCTATGTTATTCTTAATACCTTCAACCATAACTGAGTCTGTGCCACTGAGGTAACTCTTAAGGAATATGGCCGGTTGCTAGAGAGACCACTATGTGATTAAAGGGTTGGAATTTTTAGCTGAATCCTTCCAGGGAGGGGAGCCTTCTGGAAATTGAGTTAATCACCAACTGACAATAATTTAATCATTTATGCTTATGTAATGGAGTCTCCATTAATATCTCTAATTGGGATGCCTAGGTGGCACAGTGGCTGGGCGGTTGCCTTTGGCTCAGGTCATGATCCTGGGATCCGGGATTGAGTTCTGCAATAGGCTTCCGTGAAGAGCCTGCTTCTCCCTTTGCCTATTTCTCTGCCTCTCTGTCTCCCATGAATAAATAAATAAATCTTTAAAAATAAATAAATAAAACCTCTAATTGATGAAGTTCAGAATACCTCTGGGTTGTGAGAGGTGGTACCCCCCCGTCCCCATTACCTTGCCTTATGCATCGCTTCCATTTGGTTGTTCCTGGGTTGTATCCTTTATAATAAACCAGTAAGTAAACTGTTTTCCCAAGTTTTGAGTCTTTTTATCCAATGATCAAATTTGGGGTCTTGGGACCCAAGATCTCCCACTTTATAACTGCTTGGTTAGTAGGTGAACCCTAGGATTTGCAATTTGTGTCTTGTGGGGGCAGTCTTGTGGAACTGAGCCCCTAACCTGTGTGATCTGATGTTAATTCTAGGTAGACAGTATCAGAAGTAAACTGAATTATAGGAGAATTGGTTGGTGTGAGGAGAAAAAAAACTCCATGCATTTGATGTCAGAAGTACTGTGAGTAAAAATAGATAACCTAAGTTCTATTTTTATATTGAAAGTTAAATACATAAGTAGCATTAACACTAAAAAAAAAATAAAGTATATTTATTTATTTAAACCTATGCATTTCCTATAGGTGAGACAAATACATAGCCAGGAAACTTCTGCATCTTATGCCTATAGATAGAGAAAGCTACTTCCACAAAAAATACTCAGGTGAGAAACTTGATTTAGTACTATGCATAGCAGCAAACTAGTAGGAACTGTCATTAGACCACTGATGAAGCATTGTTCCCAAAGTGAGCCTTCCTGTGAACATTATTCAGTAAAGCTGACAACTGAACATACTGTAATAGTGACATCTGCTGGATACCTGATAATGCTACAAAGACAAATGAGGATTTTAAACCAGGCTTCTACTATAAATACTGTTCTTCAAACTTCTAAATCAAAGGCAAGAGGTCATGTTTTTGATGTCAAAAATTACTGTTTTAATCATACAACTTAAGACTGGCTAAGGAGAACACCTACCAAATGGGTTTTCTGGGGCTGGTGTGGATTTAACATGACAGCACTTCATTACCTTAATCAATAAAATGTGAGGCTCAAAAATGCAACAAACAAGCAACTTCCCAGAGGGTAAACAGAAACTATACAGCAGTGAGCTCTGTATCTGTTCTATCCCCAGTTCTCTCAAAAAGTTACCTAAACTCTCAATATTCTTAGAAAAGAAATGTATTTCCTCTAATTAAAACACACACACATTTACACCCTATTATATCAGTATAAGCCATGAAACCTCCCAAAATAGAGCTTCCAGGCATTTCACCACTAGGGAGATTATCTCCAAAGGAAATGGCAGTTCTCCCCTGGTTGTTTCTCTGGCAATATTCTCTTCAGCACAATGCTCAGACATTTCCTCTTTTAAAAAAGAAAACTACCCATGACCTTCAGTGAAAACTTTGGGGTTCAAACACCATAAATGATTAAAGTTAATGATAGGCTGGGGTACCCTTCCTTGGTTCAGAAAGGGAACTTGAGAAAGGTGTCAAATGTTGACCTCATTATGGAGGAATTAGACGTAGGATACTCTTTATGTGACATTTCTAGGCCATTCCACCTGACTCTTTTAGTCCTATCCTTGTATTAATTAGCTTTTCCTTTCTGGCCTAGGAACCTACATCTACCTTTTTTGTTCAAGTCAACACATCACCCATACAGTCATGGTAGATGACAATCAGTAGCGTGTTCACCTGTGGGGTTACACCTCCCTCCCCAGAACTTCTTGATCAAGTCTCTTCTTTTCTCCCTATAGCTAGTCTGAGGATTTTCACCTTCCTCACTTTGCTCATTTCCTCTTGCCTGATTTCCAGCTATGCAGCCTTTTCTGGCATCCCTGATTTTACTACCAAATCCTACTATGATGCTCTTTCTTTTTATTTATTATGTTTCCAACTTTCTATATGATAAAACAAAATAAGCTCATTCAGGACAGGAAATACTATCAAGAAAATTAACGACTCCTCCAGCTGGCTTCCCAATTCATTTTCACCATCAGCAGAAGTGGGGAAGAAAGAGGCTTTCTCCATCAACATCCCATACAGGATGTATATGGTCTTTGCTTCTTCTTTCTTTTTCTCAGAAAACACTCCTTTCACTGATGCAGTTATTCTCTCAATAAAGTTGAGGATAAGCAGAAAATTGAAAAGGTCCTTGGTTTTCTGTTAGCCTGGAGCTTATTTAAGGAAGTTGCTCCTAGCCTGGTTCATAAGCATCTCATGGTAGTGGTTTTCCGGGCACCTTCCTAGGAATTGACTTGCCCTCTCAGTATCTCTCTTTACCTTGTTTACTTTTTATAAGCCTCTAGGTTTTGGTTTTTGTTTTTAACCAGTTCTGCTCCAAGCACCACATAAGGCCCAATAACGAGTCTTCTCCCTTATGGGCTCTATTCCAACACCTTTCTTCAGTTCCTTTCCAGAGGCTCACAATATTTGTATCCTGAAAGCCAATGATTGGTTGAAAAATACCTGAGAGGGGAGGTATATCAATCATGCATCAATATAGTGTAAAAAGAAGTCAATGGTAAGTCCTACTGTCATTAAGACACTGGAAATCCCTAACTTAGATTTTAACATATAACCCTTCAGTCTCTCTTCAGCAATACTCTCCCAAATTCATAATCTAACTTGAAGAAATGGAAAAAATTTTGCCCTAATCTCAAAGCCTTCTCCCTAACCTCTTCATCAAGGGATATGCAGTAAATATCCAATGTTGACCATCATGCAGATAATCTGCCAAAAATGTTTTCACATAGTATTAAATATAAATATGTTATGGTAATTCTTATCCCAGTAAGACAAGCATAATATTAAACAAAAATGGTATGGTTTGACTCAAAAAATAGGACTCCAAAGGCATGGATCTTCATAAAAGGGTTTTAGGTACAACACCACCCCACCCCCATCCCTGCCCAATCCTCTGCAAGGAATCATCATTGTTAGTGGAAGTCTCCTTCTACCAGGGAGGTTTCTTTAGAATAAAGTCAGGGTCAAGTGTTCTTTCAGATACTTTTGGCAGGTGTCCCAGAATTAAAATTCATGCTCCTGACTCCACACTAAGGTTCGCTACTCATAAAATTTTGCTATAAGAGTTTGGGTAAATCTAAAGATTACTATATGAAGGTTCCTGCAGGGAACTAATGACATTATAAGAAAGGAAGGTGACCATAATTTTCATTAAATTGACCAGTTCATTTATGCCCTGTCTAGAAATGTCCCTCAGATAAACTTAAGAAATAGTTCTGATACATCAGTTATTTGGCATCTGCCCCAACTACATTCAACTAAATCTTTCTGAATTTAGTCAAACTACCCTGAATTTATAAAATGAATTGAGTGAATTCAGCAAAAATAGGCTATTGAGATACAAAGATATAACCAAAGAATTTAGGGTCAGAGGAATAAAAGCTAGTCTCTTCCTTCCATTTCCAAAGGTGCTAACTGCCATAAGTTGGTTTATTTCCAATTTGAATTAATTACAGGACATGGTGAACATAGATGCATATACATATAATTACATTCTGGTTATTCATTTGACAGTCCAGATCAGGCACAAATTAATTATGTTTACTACCTTTTACATTTCTTTCTGTTCATATTTATTCATGCAGTCATCCATTTCTACTATACTTTTTTTCCACAAGGGTTAGAGATGGCTTATTTCAATACTTAGCATATTTAATTTGTTTTGTTTTTAATTTATCTTTTTTAAAAAATATTTTATTTATTTTTTCATGAGAGACACACAGAGAGAGGCAGAGACATAGGCAGAGGGAGAAGCAGGCTCCTCACAGGAAGCCCTATGCAGGACTTGATCTCCAGACCGGGATTACACCCTGAGCTGAAGGCAGAAGCTCAACCACTGAGTCACCCAGGCGTCCCTTGACTTTGTTATCTTAAAACAGCATCTGTTTATTACTTGCAGTACCTTTCTATTATAGAACAGGGCCATTATATACCTTCTTTTAGAACTAGGATCAATCTCTTTACGGTATTTTATAACCATCCTTATATTCATCAAAAGCAAAATATTATAGTTTTAAAGATTTTATTTGCTTTAGAGAAAGAGAATATGCATGTACACAAGTGAGAAGAAGGGAAGGGAGAGGGAGAGAATCTCAAGCAGACTCCACAATGACCTTAGGGCCTGACATGGGGCTTGATCCCATGACCCTGAGATCATGACCTGAGCCAAAACAAAGAGTCAGATGCTTAACTGAGTCACCCAAGCGCCCCCAAAGCAATATATTATTAACCTTATGGCTAATTCTTCTCTATTGTTCCTGTACCCTTTTAAGGTAGCATGCCCCTAAAACACTTTGGCATGACCCAGGTGACTTTAAATCACTCTACTGCCATCTCCACCACGCTTGGACTCTTCTGGTGATGCATCTTGATAATAACCAGCTCCATAAATTAATAACTATAAAGGACCTTTAATAAGGTTGGAACCTGTTTAATTGCTTTCCTCTAAGGAGCCAAGGGATATAGAGTTCTGTTTTTATCTGACCTTTGGGATTTTCCATTGTCTGTCAGTCTAAAGTCAGTGGGAGGCCAACTCCCACTGAGAAAATTAACAGCTGGCTAGAAAAAGAAAGGTATTATTATTGTGACTAAAATCAGCCATGCTGGGGAGGGAAGGGCTGGACAAACTCATTAGATTACAGAAGCAATCCTTTACCCAGAGTGGCTGTCCCAGGGTAACTGGAGTGCCTTGTAATCTAATCCCTTAAGATTTAATACTCTCACCTAACTCCTAATCATTCACCACTTTTTGTTGAAAAAGCAAAAGAATTTGTGTATTTTGCCAAATTGATGGCATGAAGCCCAGAAACTATGACATAAATGTATCACAGAATTATATTTGAACCTAGAATTATAAATATCTTCTGTCACCCCTCGCATATATATAATAGAGACAGCCTGTATCTAGTGAGATAAGAGTAGTACAGTACTTAGAGCTAGAGGTAATAATGTGCATCAGTATACCACGAAGAAGGAAATGACTGCAAGAAAGTTGAAGGGGCTTAAATTAATTTGTTTTGGTACACGAGGAGCATAAATAATTTCTGTAGCTGGGTGTAACCTACATATCTCTATATTTCTACTACACAATTCACTTCGTTATCATAGCTGTAGTGAACTGACTACAATGGTAACAATTTGCAGGCACATGGCAGTTACAACAGTATTTCTGCTTTAAAATTCACCTGTACATCTTGTTAAAATTCAAATTCTGGTTCAGCTGAGATGTATGTGAAAGTCTCAAGCCTGTATTTTTCTCTTTTAGAGAGAGGGAGGGCGAGGAGGAGAGGAGGAAGAGAAAATCTTATGCAGGCTCCAACCCAGCGCAGAGCCTGGTGGAGGACTCCATCCCATGACCCTGAGATCCCGACCTGAACCAAAATCAAGAGTCAGACATTTAACTGACTGAACCACCCTGGCGCCACCCCCTTTTATTTTTCTTGAGACCTGCATATCTTTTTCTTTTTAAAAAAATATTTATTTATTTGAGAAAGTATGTGTGGTACAGGAAGGGGCAGAGGGAGAGAGACAATCTCAAGCAAGCTTCCCACTAAATGCAAGCCCAATGTGGGGCTTGACCTCATGACCCTACGATATTGAAAAGAGCTAAAACCAAAAGTTGGACACATAACTGACTGAGCCATCCAAGTGCCCTAACTAGCTTCCACATCCTCTGAGCATGCTTTGAGGCAAGAACTTACATATGATCAGATGACATGTGAAAAGAGAGCATCTTCTTCCGAGTTGTAACATACACATCTTTACTCATACTGACCCAAGAATATTAACACTGGAGTTTCTTTTTCTTTTGACAATCACTTACCTTGTCAGTGAACCCTATAATCCTGAAGCAATGCTGAATTGTTTCAAATTGTCTTCTGTAAGACTCCTTGGAAGTTATGTCGTGTATCACCCTTCCAGTTCCATCAGCTATATACCTAAATGGAGTATGACCAAATACAATGAGCACTGACTTGGCAAATAGCCCTCCAAATACCAGGGCATCACTGGGCTCCTTCCTTACAAGGGCATTTCCCTTTCAATCTAATACTCAAGCAGAATAATGGTGCACACAGCTGAGTAAAATGGCTACAGTTAAGTTTCTGAACATTCCAGAAAATGAAAATGCTGAGATGTAGTTCCTGCCATCTCTTCCTGGATATTTCAACTTAAGAGACTATCAGTGTCCAGTTAGGAAAAACAGTTCCATTTATTTCTAAGTTTTCTCAATGGCTAGTTACACATTCATTAAAAGTCAACAACTAAATAAATAGATCAATCAATCAATCAATCAACTAAAATCCCTGATACTTACCTAGGAGGTTTTTCCTCAGGAAGTCTAAACTCAGAAAGTTTCCTCTGGTGATAAAGACCAGCATAAATATAGTAAAATATGTGAAAATTTTTCTCTCCCCTGAAAAAAGGGGAGAGAAGATATTAGTAACATTCTTTCCCCATTTCAAGTAATTTATAGCCTTTCCTTCCTGTGAAAAATATTATCCTATAGCAAATTTGCATTTTCAAATATGCAAATTAAATATGCCACATCCCAATTACAGAATAGTAATAGTGATAGGATTAGTAGAGTAATTGTCACAGTGTCACATGATTGCACACACTTAACTTTCCACAGAAGAAGGTTTTGGAGAATGGAACATTCATACATAACAGCTCAGGTTACACATGTTTACAGATCTTTCTAGTACAGTCCAAGTGACTATGTGTCTGTGCCACATGCTTTCTGTTTGGAGTCTATGTGACTTAAGAGACAGTGATATCTGGCTTAGAGAGATATCGGGCAATCTCCCTACTTTTAGAGCCCCAGACAGGAAGAGTTAGGAAGCAGAACTGGTCCCAGAGCTGAGGTTTCCACTCTTTCAAATCTGTATTCTTTTAAAGCAACATCCACCATCCCCTAGTATCCTGCTGTCCACCCTTTTATAGGTCACTGTGGCCATGGTCCTTTCAGATATGTGCTCCTCTAAATGTGGTCTATGGCCTGTTGTTAGCCTATGATAAGATAAGGAACTCAAAGTACATGTCTAGACATTTTATAGCAAATGACATTGCCATAATATCCAAGAATATAATAATTTTTTGACAATTCATTTTCATTATGTTTTACAAGGTATTAGTTTACAATGGATTGAGAATTTTTTTAACTGGTCCTACAGCACAGACAGTTTAAAAAGCCCTGTTTCTGGATCCCTTTCCTTCCTCGGAGGAGGATGGTCTCTTCTGTTGTTACCCCAGGATTTGGCAAATCCTCACCCTGGCGGATTCAGCTCTGTGGAATGAAATCTTTCTACTTGTTCTTTGTTCCCTTCTGCGACATGGGCCCCACTCTTTTCTTCAGTTTCTCCTGGGTATCTTGGTTTTCCTTTGGCCATTTATCCTGTCAAAGCTTCTAGTATATTCTTATTCCTGCCCTGTATTCTAGATGCCTCTCCTTGCCATTTCTCACTCATTTGTTCCCTCACCTAATAAATTTACCAAGTGCCAGTCATGGTGGGCACTGCACCAGATGATACAGAGATACAGGTCTAAGAGGATTCATGCCCTATGGAGTTTTTCTTCTAGTGACAGACTGAGAAGAAACAAAGAAACTTGTGATGTGGGCTTTGAAACAAACACAAGGCTGAGATGAAGAATAATGTTGGGAGATGAGGGCTATTTATGTCAAGTCAGGAGAAGGACTCTTTAAGGAAATAACACTTAAGCCAAACACTGAAACATGAGTGGGGGCTGGGAGGAGCTACAGAAAGAAAGGGAAAAAGCATTCCAAAGACAGGGAGCAATATATACACAAGGGCTCACATAGAACAACAACAAAAAATGCTAGTGAGAAGGGCTGGGCAGGTAGGCAGGGCCAGCCCACCTCAAGCCTTGTCAGGCCATAATGAGGACTTTGTTGATTAAGTAATTAGAATTTTTTGCAGCATTTTAAACTGGAACCAAGGTGAACTGTAAGTGCATGACATGAGTAGGTCCGTATTTAACCAGGTGCATTTTAGCTGCAGGATGAGGACTAGACTCTAAGAAGGATGGATGCAGAAAGATCAATTAGGAGATCCAGGTGAGAGAGCAAGTAACTTGGATAGGTAGCAATGATAGTGATAATGGAGAACAAGAGTAAGCTTAAAGACATATTTGGAGGAACAAGTAAAAGAACATCCTGAGAGAATGAATGAAGGTGGTGAGGGAAAGAGGTCTGGAGTCTACCTCCTAGGTATCTAATCTGAGCATGCAGGGATGAGGGCATTATTTATAAGACGGTAAAGCCCTTTTAGGGCTTTATGAATCAGTATGCCTAGTACAAATATCACTTATTTTTTTTAACTCTGATAAATGTGCAGGCTTCAGCTGACCCATCTTGGTCTTACCTTCTTACAGTTTTTTGGTTTTTTTGTTTTTTTTTTTTTTTTTTGCAGATTTCTCTAGTTCTCAATTCTTTTGAACACTGCCTACCAATACCCATTCCTTAGCATAACTTCGATTTAGTTTTCATCCCTGTATCTATCAGGTTTGGCTAGGTTTTGTTGCAATAACAAACATCCCAAAGATCTTAGTGGCTTAACTCAACTTAGTGGTTACTTCTTGCTTAGAATACATGTCCCACTGAGGATCAGCAAAGGGAAGGGGGTGAACTCATCAATGTCACTCATGGGCCCAGGCTGATACAGTAGCCACCATCTTACACTTTGCCAGAGGGTCTTGCCATTGTTCATTTCCCATAACTGGTCATCTGACCACATTCACAACCTCAGAGTACCTAAAAGGATAATTCTATATGTGCCTAAAAGGGAGAAGACTGAAAAGGTTAGGTGAACAGGACCTGCACAAGTCCCTATTTTCTCCCCTCATTCAGTATTTCCAGTTTATTTTACCTCATTACTGCTATCATATTGAATAAATTTAATAATAATAATGTATGGTATATTACATACCTATTATGTTTAGATTCTATATTTGATATAAATAATTTATCTCATTTGATTCTCATAACCACCCTGTACGGGTGACTTTATTATGCCCTTTTTTGCATATAAGGAAAATAAGGTATGAGGATATTATATTTAGTGACATATACAATAAGTGACATAGCTCTGATTGGAACCCTCTTCACATTTTCTTTATAAAAGAACAGTTTACATTTGAACACAGAAAACTGTATTTTCCATTCTGTCAGAGGTAGCTCTGTCAACCTTAAAACCACCCTAACTTGGGGAGAAAGAAGCAAGGGACCTCATAAAAATTAACTAAGAAGACACAGGGAAGCTAAAGTAACTCTCACTCTGTCTTTTTTTTTTCATTTGTTGAATTTGCATGCCAGCCCCTACTTTGTGAGGACACTGCAAATGTATGACAGAGGAGGATGCTTGAGTTGCTACCCCAGAACAAGTGCTGTGGATTCTCTTTACACAGTAGCTTTTAGATTCATCACCTTCTCTCCACTTCTCTCTTTACTGATGATAACTTAGTCCAGACCAACATTCTATCTCACAGGTATCTGGCAACAGACAGTCTCCTAATGGTCCCAACACAATCCCTATTGCATCTCCTCCAATCCATTTTCCCCACTGAAGCCAGAGCAATCATCTGAAATGCAACTTGGGTTTTGTGACTCCTCTGCTTGAAAACAGTAAATGGCTTCCTACTACTTTTATTTTTTTAAAGATTTTTTTATTTATTCATTCATGAAGAGACACACACACAGAGAGAGAGAGAGAGAGAGAGAGAGAGAGAGAGAGGCAGAGACACAGGCAGAGGGAGAAGCGGGCTCCATGCAGGGAGCCCGACGTGGGACTCCATCCCGGAACTCCGGGATCACGCCCTGGGCTGAAGACAGCACTAAACTGCTGAGCCACGGGTTAGCATGCCCTGCCTTTAGAATATGGTTCAAAATCCCAGCCTGCATGATCTGCTCTCAGGCTCATCATTGCCTATCTCCCTGGTTGGAGGGAGCACCACCTTGCTGGCCAACTCTTAGTGATCCTTGTGTCTCAGATTAACTATCTCATACACAGGAAGCCCTTCTCTTCCTGGACTAGGTTGTATGCCCTTCTTTCTCCTATTTTACCTTCATAGCACCTTATATTGTTTCCTGGGATTTATCCTAATGGTTCTACATTTAAGTTTATTTATTTAATGTTTGTGATCCTCCCTCCGCCATCTCCATCCCCCATTTACTCTGAGCTCCGTGAGTACTGTGACCTTGTCTATTTTGCTTACTTCGCAATTCAAGCAGGGAGTACAACACTAGCATACCATAAGGATTCAGGAGATAATTACTGAATAATACATGGTGGACCAAGCTCCTGAGAAAGTCTGGTGTCCTGCAATAAATATAAAAAGCATGGCTAGCCCCCTAATAACACATACCATACATTTTTTAAAGTAATTTTATTTTATTTTTTTAAAGATTTTATTTATTTATTCATGATAGACACATACACACACACAGAGAGAGAGAGGCAGAGACACAGGCAGAGGGAGAAGCAGGCTCCATGCAGGAGCCCGACGTGGGACTTGATCCCAGGTCTCCAGGATCACGCCCTGGGCCAAAGGCAGGGGCTAAACCACTGAGCCACCCAGGGATCCCCTTAAAGTAATTTTATATAAATGAACTCATTAATCTTCACAGCAAACCCATGAGGTAGGCACTACTAGCATCTCCATTTCACAGATAAGGCACAGAGAGGTTAAGTGACATAACAAAGGAAAGCAAATGTGAGAACCAGCATTTGAATCCAGAGGTCTCCATACTATTGATTACTATGCTAGACTGCTCTTCTTAAAATCATTTTTCTCTTTTTTCAATCTAGGGGGAAAAATTAGTATGTGGAATATTATCAGTGTTTTTTTTTAATAAACAAATTCAATTTTAAGGTATCTAATGAATTTTTTAAAAGACTTATTTACTTATGCGGGGGGGAAGGGAGAGGAAAAAGAGATAGAGGGAGTCCCAAGCAGACTCTACACCAAGCACAGAGCTGGACTCGGGTCTCCATTTCAAAACCCTGAGATCATGACCTGAGCTGGATGCTCAACCAACTGCATCATCCAGGTGCCCTAGTACCTAATGATTTTTAAAAGTATTCACAATGTTATTAAATTCTACCTAGTACAGCCAACTCAAAAGAAATGAGTGTGCTAATCCCAGAGTACTCCCACCCCAACCCTTTGTATGTGGCCTGCAAACATCTTTTAGGTAAAAAATTACCACTTATCCTTCAATTAAATAATTCCTTTTTCTTGGGCAACCTGGGGGTGGGGATGGGGCCAGGGATGCTAAGAACAAGGGTGAAATGGAGCCATTAAGATTACCAAAGCCATAAAAAAGAAAGAAAGAAAGAAAGAAAGAAAGAAAGAAAGAAAGAAAGAAAGAAAGAAAGAAAGAAAGAAAGAAAGAAAAGAAAGAAAAGAGAAAGAAAGAAAAGAAAAGAAAAGAAAAGAAAAGAAAAGAAAAGAAAAGAAAAGAAAAGAAAAGAAAAGAAAAGAAAAAGATTACCAAAGCCTCTTGGTCTACCTTGCAAAGCAAAAACAGAGTCATAAAATAATGCACCTACACTGCCTGTTTTATAACTCTGGATTTTTCAAGGAGATATTCAGATATTCTTGCCCCCATCACAGCTCCAGTTGGTGTAAACATCATTTCCAGATATTTTCCAAAACGGCTCGAATTGTCATTGATGGCAGTGCATGCATTTCCAAAGGCTTCCACCAGAGAGTTGACTTGCAGAATTTTCTCTCTCAAGGTCTGATTATTGGCCTGTGCCAAACAGACAACAGTCAAAAGGAGCTTCCAGAAATATTACCTTAGCAAAATTGCCAGGGACCCCTCCCTACCCCCAAAATTCACATTATCCTTTTGGGAAGAACTTGGGGAAATTAGCACCAACCACCAGCAATGTCTTCTCAGATGAGCAACTCCCCAGGGGCACAGGCATCAGATGAGGCCAGATTAGGTTATCAATTTTTTTAAAAAATTTTTTTATTTATTTATGATAGTCACATGAGAGAGAGAGAGAGAGGCAGAGACACAGGCAGAGGGAGAAGCAGGCTCCAAGCACCAGGAGCCCGACGTGGGATCCGATCCCGGGTCTCCAGGATTGCGCCCTGGGCCAAAGGCAGGCACTAAACCACTGCGCCACCCAGGGATCCCTTAGGTTATCAATTTTTTTAAAAAAAATTGTTTTCTTTATTCATGAGAGAGAGAGAGAGAGAGAGAGAGAGATGGGCAAAGAAACAGGCAGAGGGAGAAGCAGGCTTCCTGTAGGGAGCCCGATGCAAGACTTGATGCAAGGACCATGGGATCATGACCTGAGCCAAAGGCAGACACGCTCAACCACTGAGCCACCCAGGTGTCCCAGGTTATCAATTTTTATATCCAGCCACACTTCACTTATAATCCTTGACAGATAAAATGCCCAAACAGTTTAGAAAGAGTTTTAAATAGATCCCATAACTTTTCTCAGTCATCCATTATAATATTCAATAAACTTCATTTGTAAAAAGTACTCCTTAAATGCTATCCTAGTCTCATAATACACTAGTTCTGAGTATAAGTAACTGCTAGACCACTTTTCAGGTCAGTCCTTCAATGTCCATTTCACCAAGCTAAAAATTTCCATTTTTCCTTCAATGTTTGCTCAAAGATTTCTATTTTCCAATCCTTTAAGTGCCTTAGTGGCTGTCCTTGATCTTGTTCCTAGTGGTTAACCACTTTTATTACTTAATGGCTAAATGTTTCTATTACATTCAAAACATGAAAAATTAATTGCTGATAATCTAGTAAATTCTTGCTGGCATTATTTTCCTCACTACGTGAAAGAAGGATGGCATGCTGACATCTTAAGATGCCTAGCTATCGGGAAGTAAACATAATAAAGATGGAAGGTTTTTATGTTACCACTAATGAAAACCAGCATTTCCACCATTTATAAAATATGCAGTTATGCTGCAAGGATTTGAGCCATGACACACAAAGCAGGGAGTCCATACCTTTCCCAAGAAAGTCAAATGCTGAACAATCAGGTGGGCACTCTCTGTCTTCCCAGAGCCACTTTCTCCACTGATGACAATGCACTGGTATAGAAAATGGGAGTGAGAGTGGAGCATTCATAGCACAGTAAACAACCTGTATGCTCAGCGATGGCTTTCACAATATATCCACTACTCTACTCCTTAATTTTTCACTGGATGAGGTATTGTAGGAATCTTTCCATTTGCATACACTGAGAGCTTCTTCCACTTTTCCACAGCTGCTTGTTTCACTGTACAGATGCACCACAGTCTATTTAACCAGTCTCATGTTGACAGATACTCCTTATGTTATTACAAGGAATACTGCAATGAATAACCCTATATACAGGGCATTATATTTACATGTAGGTTTACCTGTAGAATAAATTCCTAGAAATGGGTTGTTGAACTAAAAGATAAAGACATTTGTAAATTAGATATAGTACCAAATTGCTTTCTTAAGGACTGGACCAATTGGTAAAAGTGCCTATTCTCCTACAGTCTCACAAATAGGGTATGTTGGATTTTTGCCAATCTGAAACCTAAAACAATAGTCTCTCAGTAGTTTTAATTTGCATTTCTTTTATTATCAGTGAGGTTGAGATCTTTTCATATGTTTAAAATTATTCATATTTTCTTTTTTGTGACCAGCCCATATCCTTGGACAATTTTTTTTTTTTTGTAACACTGAACTTTTTATCATTCCTCCCTAGCAGCTCTTTAGGTATCAGGAGGATTAGTGGATGTGGCAGAATAAAAAACCGTGTATTTGGGCTTTGTCTCTGGTTCCTGGCACAGAGGTCCTAAGACTCTTGGAACTTCCTGAATCATAAGGGCAATAGGACCATCTTTTGTAATTTACAAAAAAAAAGTTCCTTTCAACCAAACCTAGATGCTAACCAGATGGTTCAAGGTAGGACCTAGGATAATTTTCCAATGGATGCTGGTCACCAGAAAAACCAAATACATGATGAGAGTGGAAACTTCAGCTTCATCATCCCAGCTGCTTGGGAAGAGAGAGGGGCTAGAGATTGACTGAGTCATAAAAATTCTTAAACAACAAGATTTAGAGCTTCTGGTATGAACACTTTGAGATGCTGGGAGGGGACATGCCCAGAGAAGGTATGGAAGCTTGGCACAACCTCTCTCCCCCTGTGTAATCTCTTCCATTTGGCTGTTCCTGAGTTATATCCTTTATACTATGCCAGTAAATTTAAGTGTTTAAAAAAGTGTTTTCCTGAGTTCTGTGAGTTGTTCTAGTAAATGGTCAGACCTACGGGTGGTTATGGAAAGTCTGGAATTTGTGGACTGGCAGAAGTGTGGGTAGCCTGGTGTGCCACCCTTTTTATGGCTGGCATCTGAAATGGGGGCAGTCTTTGGGACTGAGCCCTAACCATGGGGTTTGTGCTAACTCTGGGAGGTGAGTGTTAGAATTGAATGAAATTGAATTGGTGGACATCCAGTTGCTGTTGCAGAATCAAAGAACTGGTTGGTGTTGGAAAAGACACAACCTTCAGTGTCAGAAAAGAACACAGTAGGGCAACTTCTCAACTTGAGAAATACATGTATCTCTCTCCACTGACTTCCTCTCTACGGAATCCATGGTCATTTCACAAGTTTCTGGGAAAGGTAAGAATTTAGAGAAGCCAAGTTTCTAACCTATAGTCAATCCATGTTATCTATTTTGTAAGTTGCAGTGTTATAGTTTCAACTATTCCTCAGCAAACCCAAAGCTGGGACTTTATAGGTCTCAGGAAACTTACACATGGTAACTCTCACATAAAATTTTCCCATCAACTTTTTTACTTATATCTCAAACAGACTTAAACACACAAAGGAAAATACACATACTGAATGTAAAGGAAGGATCAACGGTTGAATATGTTACCACCTTGAGTTGAAGGTCCAGAAAAGGAAGCTGTATAGGTGAGATTTGGGTTTAACTAGAATTAAGTTTAAAATCTGTTCAGTCTTTACCAAATCCACCACGATTTCTCAGCAGCTAAATGGTGTGGGGCTCAATCACTGTCAACCTGTATGCAGTATTTCATACAAAAAGGACTGAACCATGAAAATTCTGAAACCTTAATAAGAAGGAATTTCATTTGTCATTCTACATTCTGTTTTTAGTATAGTCATTGCCATGTAATCAGGTTTGTGTTGGCTCTATGTTCTCATATTCATATTAGAAACATTCTTATTACATTTTATCAGAGAAAATGAGTGCTCTTGATGTGAATTTTTCATGTTACCCAAAAGAATTTTCATGTTCTCCAGCTGCTCTAACTTTATCACTGTTCCTGTTTCACTACCTACTATTTCATGTCCTATTTCCTTGGACCAGCACCAAGAATGGAGTTTTCCAGAAAACATAAGAGCTGCAAAGGAAGAAAGAATACATTCTACTATGTAACTTGGCAGGAAAGGAGGGAGAGGTTTTACCTGGTCTTTGCTGAAAGTAACCATACATTGGTAAGCAGCATCTGCTGATGCAAATATGTGGGGGGGATTGGAGGCACGTCTCACCCCATGATAAAGTCTGGAAAACTGAAGAAAAAAATTATTAATTTAAAGAAAATATCTAATTCTCCAGTACCCGTTGCCCATGAAACCAAGGCTTTGTCACTTGTTAGGGGAATTGTAGTATCAGGAAGGGTGTAGAGCCACAGGCTCTAAAGTCTGCAGGCCTAAGTTCAATTTCCAGTTCTTCACTGACTAGTTTCATGAGTTTTTGCAAGGAAGTTAACTTTGCCATGCTAAGTCTCCTCACCTGCCCAACAGCTTTAATAATGGTGCCTGCCTCACAGGATTATGAGAAGTGAGATAAGCTAGTACCTGGTAGGTAGCAAGCACTAAATGAATGTTAGCTATTATTGTTGTATCTTGCTCTAAAAAGTTACCCCTGAAATATAAGAATTTCTTCTGTGTTGCATTATTATCTGCAGGTTGGGCTAACACCGCTAAAGCAGCATACGTTTGTTCTCACTTTTCCCTTTTCATTTTCCCTTGTGGTTTTTAATTTCCTATTAAGAAGCAACATATTCTAATAGCACTTCTTACCTGTGGAGAGTATATGCTTAGATTCTGGAAGGGGTTTAAGGCAATTAAGATGTCTCCAACATAGGTGTAAATGAGCAAGTCCACATAACGCTTTTGCAACTGACAAATAATTGTATCCTAAGAGGAGGATAAATGGTACTGAGAGTAAACATTATTTCCAACCAAGAAAGAATTAAAAAAATAACAAATTTAGTCTTATGAGAATGCTTTCTTCTAAAAGATAAAAGTTGTCAATTTGAATCATACTATGACCCGTAGGATACTAAATGCAGATATTTGCTTTGGAAGAAGAAAAAAAAATAGGAATATACTGAAAGAATTAGGCCCACTTAGCACCTGCTAAAAGACACTGAGATATCCAACAAAGGTTTTGTTATTATGAAAAACTTGTCTTACCCGAAACAAAATGTTCTACTTAGAATTTGATTTGATAGGCCATTCCTATTGATAAAGTATAGCAAAAAACAGCAACTTCATTTCTCAAAGCAGTACACTTGAAATTTATGCGGTGGGAATATGGAATTAAACACTTCCATGTTACACTTTAGTGATTCATGCATTGTAGTTACAGGTCTCTAGAGTTATAATCAGCAAAAGCAGTTCCAGTGCAATTAACAGCTCTATTAAACATGCATACTTTAAATGGGGATTATCACAGTTTTCAAATTCAAAATTCAAGCTATATTATCCTTCACTATTTCCGTAAATAAAGCTACTCTTTATGAAGAACACACAACTATCTTGATGTAAAAATTAAACTGTACTTTCTCTAAAACAAAATAATTTCTGGTGATGTAATAAATAATATATATAAAGGGATTTATTGGAAAAAATGCAAATCCTTTCCTCTTCATCATTTAGGACATTTGGGGGACTATAAATGAACACAACATGGAATCACAGTCACAGCAACCAAATGCTCCCTCAGCTTCACCCCAAGGCTATACAAACAATTAAATTTTCAAGTGACCTTAGGAGAGCATGTCTACAAGAAAAAGGTCAGACCATTCACATGAAACAAATGTTATCGCTGAGAATTGCCTACTAAATATTTAGTACCTCATCCAGAACCTCTAAATTCACCAAATCATCCTCAAGGCAGCATTTTTCAGCATTTTCCACATGATAGGGTCTTCTGGTATGCATTCTTTCATGCCTAGAAATTTATCCAGAGAATATTACAGTTAACACAGTAAAAAGTATAGCAGAATGTAGACAATGAAAATGGTTCATTCACAATCTTACCACATGATATGCTCAGTCAGAGACTTCAGAGATGGGAAGAGGAAGAGCAAGCACAGTCCAGGTCCCCAAGCTGCAGGGCCCTCTTCCTGTTGCTACAGAGCTATCAGGAGTAGGGTGAGCTCCAGACCTCAAGCCCGCCTTCTATCACAGTGAGGGATATTGCTAAGTGGGCCCAGCTAATACTTCTATTTGTTCTTAAATGCAAAGCAGCTTTTCCAGAAATAAATATCTCATGTTCTTTCTGTTAATGGTCAGGTATATAGTTCTCACCCAGGTACTATCCTTGAGGTCCCCTCATGCTATCCACCAGTATCAATTCCAACTTTTTGAAAAATATTTAAAACTGCAGAAAATTTTAGAGAATAATATAGCAAATATCAAGGAATCAAAATGTTTATATTTTACCTTATTTATTTGAAATCCTTTTGTTATCAATATTTCATCCCACTCCCCTTTCCTGAATGACTACTATTTGTTGAGTATCCTTCCAATCTATTTTAAAATATTGGTCATACATGTGAGCAAATACATATTCTGTTAGTTATAAAAATGATATACTGTTTCATTCTGTAAAATTGTTTTTTCCCCACTCAATGTTGTAATTTTTTAAACTCTATACATGGACATACACATACATATCCATATTTCAGTCTCTTTAATCACTGGGTTATATTACACCATATGAATATATGCCAATTTGTTTACCCAGTCCTGTGATCATCAACACTTAGATTGATTCCACTTTTTTCCTATTAGAAACAAAACAGCACTCAGCATCTTTATATGTATACCCTTGTCTATATATGTGAGATATTTCTCTGAGAGGGCATTAGTCTAAAGACATTTAAAAAATTTGGTTGGCACAAATAAAAAATAAAAATAAAAAACTTAGTTGGCAAGCAACACTAATCTCCTTTGGCAAACCAAAATATAGTTTTTGAAGGTATAAAATTAGTTCAAGTCAAAGTAGACTTTCCCATAATTTCTGCATAAAGGTATCACTACTCCATGTGGTATAGGGGGAAAGAGGCAGCTAGGAAGTTAAAAACTCTGGGTCCTTGTTTCAGGGTTCTGAGGAATGTCTCGTGGGCCACTTAGCAATTCCCTTAACAGCCAGCATGGCAGTTTGCTGCTATCTATAAACAGAACCTCTCATGAGTATCTATCTCATGGGGTAGGATGGGGGAGGCTCGCGGGGGGGGGGGGTGCTGTGAAAGTAATACAGTCATGGATATACAAATGCAAAGGAGTTGAAAAAAAATGTACCAAGTACTACTGTTACAACCTTGTCAGAATTTGGAATCAACAATTTACACAACTCCACATATTACTCAAAATACCAATAACTAAACAAAATCACATGTAAAATGCCTTCGAGGTACCGTCAGTTCAGCAGTATCACCACACAGTACGTCACTGTCACCTTTTATGCTCACCATCATCACAGTTTCACAGGACCCAGTTTTATTTTGCCAGGCCCCAGAAGTTAGTTTTACTGAACATTTTGCTGTAAGTACCATGTAGGCATCATGGCATCCTTTTGTGCACTCTGTCCCTTGCTGTGTGCATTTCACAGAAGTAGGTAAAAAGGAAGAAGCAAATTCAATAGCTCTACATATTAAATCTTGACTTTATAATATAATAGAGATGGGCAAAGAAAACACTTTTTTCTTCCTGCCTGTTAAATTTTACTTCCCAATTCCCATCATTGATAGATTTGAAGAAAGGGTATTTGAAGCATGGTATTAGTCATTTCCAGTGCTGGAGCCAGTTTTGCTGCTAATTCATATAGAGATCCAAAATAGCTGAAGCTTAATTTTATTTAATAAAATCAAACGTATAACCTAAGCATTTTAAAATTATTAAACAGAAGGGTTTATTCATCTGTGCTGTAATATATAATAGCAATGTCAAAGAGAAATCAGATTGAACTAAAATACAAACTTTTACTAAAACTCAACTGCTGCCTGCTTCTGGCTAGCAACTTTGCTAAATAAAACAGCAGAAGGGTGCATATTTTCCGGCCAAATCCCCTTCATGTAAAACCTAAGCATTTTTTTTCCTTGAAGCTCATCATGAAATATCACGATACATTTTTTAAGAAAACTAAATTCTCAACATATTAAATACATCTAATTAATCTTCTTCCTAAATCCTTACCTTACAATTGTATCAAATAGGCTAAGTTAGAGTTTATTCTATACATCTTCAACAAAGAAAATGAGGAATTAAAAAAATCATCCACAGATCTGGTTCAAGTCAAGATGGAGTAAGCACTCTCCACTCTACCTTCCTACTGAATACAACTAAATATCCTAGACAGAAAGCACAGGCCTTTCAGAAGTAAACATAACAGGAAGACTGGGGAAATCAGAATTTCAAATACCACTGAATCAATGGCAAGTTTCCCACGGATTATTTTTTTCCTCCAGGAACTCCTGACCCGAACCACATACAGGGATGTCAAGTTTCATACTAGATGACATTTTTATAGCCAACCAAAAATGCAAATACTGACAAAACCTCACTTGTAATATCACAAATAAATAAACTCAAAATAAAGTTGTGACTTTGAAGGTGAACATGTACAATGTAATACCACCAGGATCAAAACTGTCATCTTTTGAATCTTGCAGCAGATTGTCTATATACCAGTACAGATTTAATCTCCAGGAATCATGCAGATACTGTCTGCAAATCTGAGCCTGATTCTCAAAAAAATCTTCCCCTTTTAATATTTTATAAACAACTTTTAAAAGATTTCACCTGCTATGATTAGCCACATATGGTCTCTTCCCACATTTGTTGGCAATCAAATTCCTTAGACTTATTTGCTTCCAAAATGGAAGCAGGCAATCTAGAAATTGATGTTGGTGCAAGATATTTCCACTCTATCAAGACAGCTTCATTTTTTCAACCAGTGGAAAAAAAATATCTCTTAGCCCCATCTCTGCCTTCCCCAACTAGTGTTCTGAAACTGCCACCTGCTTCATTTTCCTTTGACTATGGGGTTTGGAGTCTTCTGAAGACAAAAAATTACTTATTCCAGTTCTTACCTGTTTTAAAAAAATTATCCTGGATTTTACATATATTAATAAAAAGTATTATGTTGTTTTATATTTGTCTATTTCTAGTTGAAACTAATAAAAATAATTTGGTTTAAATTTTTTAGTTTTCTTTCATTAAATGATTTGTCATCATCACTGGTCATTACCAGCTTAAATTTCCTTTAAATTCACATGCTCCATCTAGTGCCTTACTTGAGAATAGCATCTATTATCAATTTTTGCTGAAGAATTCCTTAATGTGAAAATTACAAATTTCCAACTACAAGGTACTTGGATTGAATGTTTCAAAGCTCAGAGAAATGGATAAATAGGTAAGTGGATGGATGAATAGCAAAAGGCATTCTATTAAATCAAAAGGATAAGTTTTAACGACTCAAAAGACATTTTCAAATCCCAGCAAAGTCCATACTGCTTTTTGCTAGATTCTTACTTGTTTTTATGAAGCTCTAAATATGTTGGCTGCAAAGTCTGACTTCCTAGACAAATAGAGTTTGTGGGAGGGTGGGGGTAAAGCTTAGAAAAGAAGAAACTCAAAGCTCTGGGTTGGGCTGTTTCCTGGAGTTTGGGGTTGGTGGGAGCTGGTAGGTAATGAGTAGGACTGACCTTAGGTTTCAGGGATCAGGAAAAGGAGGATTGGTGTCAGAATTCCTGGCTCAGGTAAGAGGGAAACAAGGGTAAGTTGGAAACATCAAGTCCAAGGAAATGAGTGGAGAGTAAGAACTGGATCTGAAGAGTAGGTGAGACAGGCAGAGGCTAACAGTTCCTGTAAGACAAGGGTAGGCACAGATGAGGTAGAAGACGGGAGATACTTTGGAATGTCGTAGGTCCAGCCCATGAGTGAGAAACAAGCTGTAGAGGGAGGGTACCAAGCTGGTTCAGACACGGGGCATTGTTCTCTGGGAATAAATCCCTGAAGTACTGCTGCCTTTACTATAGTTTCATCTCTATGCCTGCATTATGGGTAACCTCATTTGTGTATGATACTCTTTAATATCTCATCAATGGGCTACAGACTTCTCTGTTCAAGCTGCTGGCCCTAGGAAAGATTTTGACAAATATTATATATTTTGTCTGAAAGTAATTCCTTAATCCCTAGCCTCTTCCCATCTGTTAACTATGCCCATGGAAGAAGCGACTTCCATGTAAGTAGGTCAAAATGGGGCTTCACATAGGTGCAGCAGGATGCGTTCTTCCCTTTACCACCAACTATGATGAAGAACAAAGCAAAAGAAGACCCTCTAAATCATAACTCAGGATGGGAAGGAAGTAAAACTTTTTAGCCTACTAATTACAGAAGATATGCTAGTAAAGAGAGATTCAATGCTGTACTGAAAAATGTCTGATGGTATTTTAGGAACAGTCATGCTGTGACAGGACCATTGTGAAGGATACCTCTACAACAGTTCCTCCACACTCAGGTGAGCCCTCCCCTCCATCCAAGAGTAGAACTGGAAGGAATGGAGAATGACTAACTCTTCCATCAGATTCCAGATACAAAAGGAAGTAAAATCTGTTGAAGGTGGAGAAAAAAGGGGGAAAGAATAGAAGTAGTAAGAAAAAAGGAAGTAAAATCTGTTGAAGGTGGAGAAAAAAGGGGGAAAGAATAGAAGTAGTAAGAAAAAGAAATGTGGTGGTCCTCAAGATTCTAAGACAAAGGCTTTGGTGGCCATGGACAGAGTTGAGGGACAACTTGACAAGTTGGATAGATCAGAGGAACCTGAAAGTTCAGAGGAACTCCCTTATCACCACATTCAATGGATTCTACCCATATAGTGAGGAAACTATTACTCAAAACTGGAGAAATAGTACTATTATATTTCTTCCAAATCATTATTTACGTTTC